TGGATTATATTCTTCAGAATTATCCGACCTAAACATTTCAAAACCCTTACCGATTACACAAACCAGTTCAAAAGCCCCAAGTTTCTCAAGATAACCCCTTTATAACGAGGCTGTAACGTTTTAGCGCTAACACACATTATATCGATCAAACCATTATGACGAGAATTAGTTAATGACCTTGCCTGTAATTGAGCCGATACATAACGCCTAAGTAGGTAAGTGCGGGGGGGAGGGGGAGGGGTTGTCGTTACAGCGTCTTTAATCTTGGCCAGGCACGGCACAATGTCTTTAAGTAATTATCTCTGTATGAACAATTGAACAATCCTGCTGATGGAGGGGTGGTTTGTGGGGGAGGGGGGCTCCCTGATTGGTCGACGGGCCAATGGCGCGCTTCAAGACCCGGGATAAATGTCACCCCCAATTACGGCACGGACGCCGATCTGTAGCAGCCGCTCCTTACTTCGCCTTCCTTTCGGTTTTTGAATCACGACGTTAAAATATTGTTACATTGCGGTTTGCTATAGAATTATGTGATTTAGCTTACCAGTGCTTTACAACTATGCCATTGTATAAGAAATTGTGTGCGATTAACAAACATAAAGCACCCTTCTTATTAGTTTTTGAATCACAACGTTAAAATGTAACACTGTGCTTTGCTGATGGATAAAATGAGATGTGTTTTAGCTTACCAGTGCTTTACAACTATGCCACTGTATAAGAAATTGTGTGTGATTAACTATCATAAAGGACCTTTTCCTATTAGTTTGTGAATCACAACGTAAAATATTGTAACAGTACAGTTTGCTGATATTATATTATGTGATTTCCCGTGCTGAATGATACTAAACCGTACTAATGATACTACCGTGTAATGATACTACCGTGCTAGTCATTATTATGTTTCGAGTCGTTTAAATTATGTTTACAGTATGATGGTTGTCGTTGTAGATAAGGTAAAATTGTTAAGTTGTAGCGTATCCGGTACATGTATTTGAGTAAACACATATTCTTTTTGGTCTATCATTCTGTCTGTCCTAGTTTTTTCTTCAAGTTAAATATTTGTACCAATATAAACATTCAAACCACTACGCTAGATGCTCACACACACACAGAGACACTGATGCGACTCGCCCGTTTGTCGTGCATTAACGTCGCCTCGCGCGGAATGCCAAGTGTCTACTTTATTAAGCATAATTACACTAATTTTATGATGTTTTATCAGAGTGCAGAGTGGCCGAAATAAATATAGAGATAACGGCGGCTATTAATTGATACTTAGCAGTGGATGTAACATTTTAATTACGAGCGCTCCGTGTTATCAGGTGCTAATGGAAGAGACATGTTTGGTGGCGCCGCGCATAGGTAACCACTTAACCAGAACCGTTTTGTATGTACAGTCGCAGTCGGGTGTTGTGGTCCTTCGCCGGATAGTCGGGTTCGCGACCGTCCGATCAATTAACCAATTAACTGTTAGATAACGATTCGGTATCCACTTTGATTTTAAGGGTTTAGTCGTTTAAGTCTTCCGGTTATCATTGTTTATGGTAGCGGCTTCGCTCCAGGTTGGTTTGATTTCGGCTTTGTGGCGGAATTGTGGAAGTAAAGATTTCAAATTTTGGTGTCACAGTATCAGAAGCCTTTATCGCTTAGGGACACGTATGCACATGGCGAGAGCCAACTAACTAAAATAGCAAAGGAAATCAATAGCTAATGAAATAAAGAAGCAAAACACGTAATTTTATTTTTACAAATGAAGACTATAGATTAAAAGATCTGCTGTGGCAAAAAAAAATTGGTTTCAACAACGTAATGAATAAAACTTCTAAATAAATAAATTATACATACCAAGTGCTTTAAACCCTTCATCAAAACTCGTTTACAATAAAAAGGAATAGGTTTTTTTAGGAATGTGGTTATAAACTTTGAAAATCGCACGTTCGACTTGCCCTATTTTCTGAGATATTGTATATGCAGCACTAGTGTACACCTTTTCAAGAAAGACTGAGAAATATTTAAGATAATTTTATTATTCTAAGTTCAATTCCATTGTACATTATATTATTATGACCTAACCTATACATGCAATTGTGTCTACTTAGTTCAATAAACGAGTTATTGAGTTATAAGTTATGGGTGATATTAGGACTAAACACATACCCAGAAGTCTGTCTACAACCATAGACGAATTAAATTTGCATTTAGCAAAACTATATGCCTATCCTCTTCGTGCTACGCCTGAAATTGAATGGTCTCGTTTTTTCCTATAGTTTTGTTTTGTTGTGGATTTTAGCGAATTTCCCTATAGGGAAGTAGCTATTACCGTATGTCTCATGGTAAGACCTAGGCCCGAAACCGATTTACTTTTTATTTTTGATGTCCCCAGAGGCCAAAAACATCATTCGTTCAAATTTTTATATATGTTGGGTGGGATAAACTTGAATGAGTTCGCGAACCAGCATGATCGGACCATGGAAATGGGGTTTAACGGGGGGTTTTTTGAGGTAAAAATGGGGTTTTATCATTTTTTCCCTTGAAACAAAAAATTTGTCAATTTCTCTCCAGACCTTTTTAAATAGCTTAAAAAAATAATAATTTAATATATCAAAGTGTTTTTCTAAAATAATTGGTTACGGATAAAAATAAAAAATTGTTAATTTAAAATTTCTATGTTATTCTTATGGAGAATATTATAATATGTTGTAGTTGGCTTTTTTATGGATATATTTTGATCAAACTTGGCGTTTTCATACTATTTCATACTAAGATATTGATATTAATAAAAAACACACTTTATTAGTTATTAGCAGCTAACCTATGTACTCGTTAAACATAAGTGTTAATTTAATAGATTAATAGTTGAAAATCAATCCAGGCAAATGGAAATTTGCTAAGTCAGCAGGTTTACTGCAGCGGGGTATTTTATTCACCACACGGTAACACTTTTTTTCTAATTTAAAACTCTATTTTTCTATAATCGACCACGTTTAGAAGGGAATTTACTAAATTATGAACTTACATACCAGAAGTAATTATGTAACAAAGAATGATGGGCATATGGGTGATTATATCTAGCCAGATAAGGCCTACATTGTGTAACTCCCAAGGTCCGGATAGAGGGATGTAGGAAGACTATGGTCAATTACATCTGTTTAGGCCATGTTAAACACAGAGTAGACCAGAGCCAACAAAGACTCGTGGTTCGATCAATGCCGCCATTAAACACTGATTGTGAAAGTGGAAACGGGCCTTGGACAACGGGTCATTACAAGCAATTTATTTAATACCTCTATTCCAATATATACTTGGCTATCAACAGATAATTGTAGTTTCTTTGCAATCAAAGTCCTAAGTATTAAAGTTCCCGGTAACGTAAGAACGACGAAGGCGTAATTAAATAAATCCATGTAGAGGTAATACGTTGCGTCATTCTATCTGGCTACATTCGTAACCAACATGAAATATTGTTGAAATGCATACTTCAAACAATAGTGAGGTAATGTGATTTGAAGTTATCCATGGCTAACTGAAACGGTATTTTTTTATCTATTTAGCGTGTCCAGTAACTATTGTCCATTAGACCAATATCTTTGCAACGGCTAATATGGTCAAAATGTAATTATTGTAAGTGGATTATCTCATAAAACGATGGTAACGGACATGGCGAGTTTATAGGTACTTGGCTGTAAACATAGTCCTAGTATGATAATAACATTTAATATGTTCCTGGAAATTAGTACCATGTCTAAAGGCCAACTTATTAGTATATTTTATATTACATGAATATTAATTTATTTTGCATAAAGGGAAAATATTATTTCGATGTTTTTTACACTTTTTATGTTCTACCTTAAAATCCCAGCCTGGAACTGACACATTACTTTAGGCTCGTCCTGGATATACCTGAATATACAAGGTGATTGGTACTCAGTGTGACAAAAAGTTGGATTGGATTCAAAGATAAAAATCAAGGTGTTGGATAAAAATAAAAATTGGTCTATTGCATTTTTCTACACCTTGTATACAAGAAGGTGGTCAAATATGTTAAAGACTGCACCATTTTATAAGCATTCCAACCATATGTTACACTATTGAGGTTTAAATATGCTTTTGTTTGTTTTAGTGGTTTGACTACTACAAAACGGGGAACATTTTACCGTTTTTATTGTATATATGGACGGTTTACTTCATAATTTGAGTTGCAGGCTAGTTGAGAAAAAATTCCAGGATCCAAATTTTATCCCTGATTTTTTAATCTTAAGTGACAGGTGGACCAATTATTGTAAAAAATCATTAATTTTCAAATTTCATACCAAACGTTCTTTTGATAGGACTGTGGTTACTGTTGATAGGACCACCGTTGTATGTAGACATCTCTATATACAATTTGTCGCAGATTCTTGAATCCTAATAAACGTCGTACCCTCTATATAGAGTGCAGTGATGTAAATTACAAAATTCTGTCAAATACGCCAACATTTAACCAAGTCAAACTAGTAGTTAGACTCATTGATTTGTACGCCTTTGAATCGCTGCATCCTAAACTTGCTGTAACATTTCAAAATTCCGTTTGATAGCAGAAACGTTTAACCCATAATTGAATAAGCTCGTCATTTTCTTTTTTTTGAAATTAATACTCTTAAAGCTTCAAAATCGCAAAATTTAAGGAACCTCCAACCGAAATTAAATGTGAGTAATTAATTCAAACAAAATTGCTTCCAGCAGTAACTGTTCCCTTATCGGAGCTGAAACGGGAACGGGTTGAGGTAAACTTCAACAGACAACAACAAGAGTGAAGTCGACAGAAAAATAGTATGCATTCATTTCGTCGTATTGAAAAATTGGTTCTGAAATATAAATTATATATATCCTCATGTACAAAAAACAAGGCTCGGCTGATCCCTCATACATAAAGACGGGCTATCTACTTCAGTATGCAAAAATCAATAACACTACGCGTATAGGTAAGCCTAAACTAAACCTAATTCACCCTACATACGAACCTCCACTTCGTCCTTCTGTTCTGGAACCACGTCTTGACCTGGGCGTCCGTCATCTTGAGGGTCTTGGCGAGTGCGGCTCTCTCCGCGCTGGCGAGGTACTTCTGTTTGTGGAACCTCTTCTCCAGCTCGGCTATCTGCAGTCTGGTGAACGACGTCCTCGGCTTCTTGCGTTTCGGCGGAGTTCTGTTCTGGTACGGGTGTCCGATCCGCCGCGTCATGGGGAACGTCGCTGAAACACCATACACACTCTATTTATTTCAACGGAAATCACCATTTAAAAAATATATACATGAGAAATTACATACATGCAACAAGATGCAGAAGACAACATAATGAGGATGCGTAAGAACTGACATGATGATGAGATTACAATGATAGTGTGTGTGTGTGAGAGAGAGAGAGAGAGAGAGATTTGCATATGATGTGAAGTGACATTAATTAGACCAGTGTGAATTGATAACATTTCAAATGACGACAGTAACAGTGTGAAAAACAACAATACAAATTGACAACAGATATAAACTAGAACAGCAGTGTAGACGAATAACAATAAGTGGCTCTTTATCATTATGTATTATCACCTGCGTATGTTAAACCAAATATGAGTTAAGGATGAGTGTAGAATGGAGTGAGGTACCTTGAGTTGCTGTGTTACTCAGTAACACATGTATGTTGTTAATAACAATATTTACATGACGTTCTCTTTGATACTCAATTCCCCCTCTTTATTTAAAGGAATCTGCGATTTTTACCAGAATGTGCTAAAAGTATTATTTGTATTAATCAAAAATTTAACGGGTTTATACTAAGGTTATATGTTTCTAAAATATATTGAGAGAAAAATTATCTTTATCTATCATTATACAACATAAAGTTTCAAAGATACTAAATAATCTGCGAACAATAATCGACGGTAAGTTCTAAATAATGTTATTATTAATTTCAAGTTTAGGTACACCCCTTGGCATCAATTAAAACAATATTTCTACAGTTTCTGTAGTTTCCTACAACTTGTATCTAGTCGAAGTGATGAATAAAATCAGTGTGATATACACATCCTACATCAATTGATGTAGATATCAATTGTATGTCTGCAGTGTACACATAGATGAAGTAATACTACTTATGAAATGTAATAACGGAAAATTAAATATTATATTACTTCATGTATGTAATGTCCTCATCTGCATGCATTTTATATTATCTTTGTATCTTTTGATTTGACCTTGTACTCTACATCCATTGTACTCTTCCTTGACAAATGTTTACCAACATAATACCTTTCATTGACCATTCCACATGCAATTGTATTGTCTATTGGGAAATTAAGCTTTGATTTGATTTGATTTGCTGTGGTGTACAGGACAATCAGTCAAACTGAAGCCGCATCCTTTACCTTTACCTTTACCTTCGATGTCTTCTCCACAATCTGGTGATTGGGGAATCGTCAATGTTTTATTGAAGTAGCTTTGATAGGCCCTATTTGAGGTGTTGGTATGTATGTTCTTCAGTGTATTCTGATAGTGAGTAGTAGGGTCTTTCTGTTAAGTACTCTTTTAGTGACTTAATGAAGATGTTTGGCTTGTTAATCTTTTTTATGTGTTGTGGCAGGAGATTGCAGAGGGATGATCCTGAGTGAGATGGTGATTTACAGGTTTTGTTTAGTCTGTGGCGTGGAAGGTGAATGTTGTTTTTGTTGCAGGTGTTGTGGTTGTGTTGACTGGATCGAAGGATTGGATTTGAATTTACTATGAGGATTATGGTCTCCAGGATGCATCATTGGGGTCGCGAATGATGACGTCACTTCACTTATATCCCCTGTCGAGAAACACGTTCAACTAATAGAAAATAAAGCTGAGCGTTTGAGGCTTGGTGTTTGGCTCGGTTTAACGTCTGTAATAGGTTCCACCAATCCAGCGGTCCACTAAAACCTGTTATTACTTTAATTATTCTCTGGATGGAAATTCCAGGAGAGCGATCCAGGATCCAGGACTCGCACGACACCCAGCACACGTCCTGTAGTCCCGCGGCACAAACACCAATCAGCAGTCAGCTATTAGCGCTCATTACACGTGTTACCAAGAAACATCGCCATGAAAAAGATAAATTGTCGAGATATGTAATGTATTATAATGGCCGACGATTACAGGAATGAGTCTAATTCGGAGCGATGGCGGCAGTAATATCGGACCTCGAGTCGTCCATCTATTCATTCCATCATAATTACGGATTATAATGGCCGACCAATGGGAAGGCCAGAATTAATGGCTTTCGACCCATTGGTCCTTCGCGGCACTATATCATTAACCTGTGATGGAGCCATTGTTATTTTTCGTCCACGGTTTCATTGCCTCTTCGTCCTTCCCGAGATTGTCGATTCGATCTGTTGAATCGAGCGATTCGGCTCATTATTGCACATGTAGGAATGTAGTTTAGGTTTAGTTTAAGGGATTTAGAAGTAGAGCTCTTAATAGCGAACGTGATTGCTTCTGAAATTGAGTTTTAAATTATATTGCTTGAGATTGTATCCCACGGCCTCCTTTGATTGCAGGATATAAGGAAAATGATGAATGACATGCATGTTAAACTTAATAATGATCTACGAGTAGATCTACTGTAATAAGATATGTTGTAATGAGTACCTATACAATGTTGTGTGCAAGATACAGCAACCACTAGATACGAGAATTTATATTGACTGTCTGTTGAAATTGTTTCTACACTAAGAAAACTATTTCGTAAGAGTTAAAACTGTTAAGGAAGTCATAGCTATTTGTCAAATTTTACAACTATTGTAGGATATAAGAACGCATTAATGAGGAAAATAACAGAACTATTATCTAGAAATGGAAAATAAAATAATAAGCTTTGAATTCTTTAAGGTCCATTGATACCATAAGTATAATAACTTTTATGAATATTTAAAAACATACCATTGAAAATACGATTGGTAATTTATTATAAATATAAAAATATGGTAGCATAAAATTACGGATTTCAAATAGAAATTATACCATCAACTTACGTTTCCAAGTTATTTATTTTCAATTATCAAATTATCAAAAAAATAATACTGTCTCGCAACAAAACTTATCCTCAATAATAACTTTGGAAATGAGGCAAAGAAATTCATCTGGAAATAAGAAAACTCACCGGAAATGAGAAGAATCAGGGAAAGCGATGGATCGTGGCAAGTTGTGGTTACCAGATGAACGTTACAGAGAGCACGGACGGCAATCAGTGTTATCGTGGTGTTATCAGGCAATAGCAGCAAGGGTGGAGGGCGGAGGGTTGTAATAGCAGTGGAAACAAGATGGCGGCCTGGGGTGTGCTGCACTGCACGTCACGAACATGTGTGAATATAGGCCTACTACTCGAGATGCAGTTGTGCAGTCATAGACAACATTCTTGCCATGTTGTAAATGGCAAGATAAAATGCTACGTTAGAATTGTGAGGATTGAGGTAGAAATTTTTAGTTTCCAGATTACACGTTTATAAGTCTACTGATAAAAATGTGCAGATTTTGTAATATATATTATATTATTTTATATGCACATTCGCCGGTTATATTTTAGGTTTTTTTTTTGTAAAACAACGATTAAAATCAGGGCACACTTCTACACCGACACAATTATTACTATTTAAATTAAATGTATTTTTTGTGTTAATTACTTAGCAGATATGAACCCTAATATTACCTACGTGGTATTTTTGTAACCCAAAGAAAAATTATAAATAAAAAGTTCTTTATTGAGTAAGCGATTTTGGAAACAATTGTGTCATTACGAACGTGCAAATACTGGGTTTTAATACAACAGTTCCCCACCACACTTCAGATTTAAAGATGTATGTTAGTTTTCTGTTGTCTGTATTATTGTAGTTTTAGTCAGCTTTTTTTAATGGAGGCTTTTAAAAACATTGTTAGTAACCGAATATTAATTTAGTACAGTAATATACTGTACTTTTTGAGAGTTATTCAGGTATATTACATTATAAAGCCTTGCTCGAACAATTTAAACAAAATTCCACTGTTTTATTGTTGTTTATTATAAATAAATGATAAGGATAAATCCGCAGTTATATAAAAGTTATATTATGGTAACGTTGCTAATAAATACATATTAAATACGTAGTTGTTTGTGTATTTTATCAAAACAATTCAACTGAATACACAACAAGCACTAACAACGCAGGGTTGTAGACCGGGCCTAACTATTGAAGCGATTGGCGACGTTAACAACAGTAATCAGCCGATGGGATTGAATTGAGACGAGATAACCATCAAATACAACACGACAATAGGATGGCTACAACTACAGCTATAGTGTCTTGTCATGACATGGTAATGGCCGACTGATGGATTCTGATGGCTCGGGACACGCCATCATACAACAAACATGTGTATAGTCATCACGGAACATATGTACGAGTGTTTATGTGGGTAGTGGATTGTGGGTTATATTGTCTTTACAATCAATAGCTGTCCGCCAAACTGTCTTATAGCACAGATAAGGCTTTTTGCAGTCTTCGCTGTGAAATATAATTTAAAAGATTTACTTTCGTAAAAACTAATATTTCATGGCAATGGTCAAAATAAAATAAAACTATCTATATGGCTTAGTATTACAATAAAAAATTAAACTGAAATATTCCTCTTGTTTTTAAAAGCAGGCCGATAAGTTGCACCCTCTAGATGAATGAACTAATTGAATGTTTGATGGTCAGAGGCAATTCACAAAGATAGAAAACATTCATATTCTCCGTTACAGCTATATCACGGATAAAAATTCTTTCTGTTTACCTTTGTCAAGTTCCTTTTTCATCTTCCTATTTAATTGCTGGTACTAGCCTTAAGGCCAAGTCACACCGAGCTCGCTCCCGCGGCGGGAGCGAATTTTGAAAAATCGCTCACCATATTATCAAATGTGCCAAGTCACACAGCACTACCGCGCGCCCGCGGGCGTGCGGTAGTGTCCGCCACGTCCGCCTGCTGAGCGATTTTTTGAGACTACCGCGGCGGGAGTTTTGTCTAGCGCATGCGCAAATGGGCATTTCGAATGCCCAAGCTATTTAAAGTTTAAAAGTAATACAGTTTTAAATTAAATTAAACATGTTTCTTTTGTTTGATGATGTAGTCTATGTTGTTTTGTGTACCGGTAGTATCTTCGTAATTATGTTTATCACCAGAAAAAAATCATTTTTGTTTACCATGCAAAATTAACGTTAAT